TCCCAAGTGCTGGAATTAAAGATGTGTGCCACCATTGCTCAGCTTATACTTTTTATAATTTTGTGTATTTTTAAATTTTTATTCATTTTTTGTCATTTTGAGTCGAGTTTCTCCAATTTATTTATTTATTTATTTTAATCTAGTCTTCTCTCACACAATACATCTGTGTTTCCCTTTCCTCCACTCCTCCCAGTCCCCCTCTCCCCTTGATCCAGTCATCCTCCATTTCCCTTCAGAAAAGAGCAGCCTTCCCTGGAATATCAACCAAGCACAGCACAAGTTACAATAAAACTAGACAAAGCCTTATATCAAGGCTGGAGGAGGCAACCCAGTAGCAGGAAATGGGTCCCACAAGCAGGCAAAAGAATCAGAGACAGCCCCCACTCCCACTGTTTGGAGTTCTACAAGAATACCAAGCTACACAATCATAACATATATTCAGGGGACTTAGGTCAGGCACACTCAGGCTCTGGAGCTGGGCCACTTCAGTCTCTGTGAGCCCCTGTGGTCCCTGCTTAGTTGATTCTGTGATTCATGTTCTCCTGTTGTCCTCGACCTCCCTAGCTCCTACAATCCTTCCTCCTCCTCCTCCTCATCTTTGAGATTCTGCCTAATGTTTGGCTGTGGGTCTCTGCATCTGCTTCTATCAGTTGCTGGATGAAAAAGCCTCTGATGATGATTTGGCAGGGCACAGAGCTCTTCTGGCTGGAGTGGCCTGCACTTGGGCAGGTTCATTTAATATTGTTATAGTTTTTATTTTTATATCTATCCCCAATCATTCCTTGCTGTTTTAAAAACTTTCACCACTCATATATTTATGTCATTTACTTGGCACCTAAAGTCACCAACTTGCTACTCCACACAACAGTTTTCAAACTCAGCTTGTTGTAATGGTATCTTCGCACCTGGGAGACAAAGGCAGGCAGATCTCTGTGAGTTTGAGGCCAGCCTGGTCTACAAAGTGAGTTCCATGCCAGTCAGGGATACAGAGAGATTCTGTCTCAAACTCTGTTGCTTGACCCATTGAGAAAACTGTCAATCAAGTATGGCTGCCCACTGTGGGATCTTGGACGGAAGCATCCTTTATTAGGAACTTTTATATTTATGGAGGTTAAATGGTCTTCTGTAAATGTGTCCCAAAAGAGTGTAAGAATAGAGAGTAATTAGTTTCAATTTTGCTTTTGTTTTAAATGTCTTTGCTTAGCCAAAAACAAGCAAAACAAAACAAAATGGAGCTATTAGGTTTGTTCCTTTTGAAGAAAATTGGTTTGGTAACCCTAAAATGTTGAGAACTGCTTAGTTTCAAGAGTGTAAAGTAAAATAGGATGAACATTTGGAGTAGTCCATCTGCTTGGAGTGTTTCCAAATCCAACCCTAGAATTGTTTCAGAAATTCACTCCTCCATGTTAGGAATAATACAGGATTAAGGACCTTCAACCCACATGAGCTGGCACATCATTGTTTCTTCTGACTAGCTGTGAGATCTGATGTTTTGCTTAATTTGAACAAAACTAGTGTTTTATTTTTCTCTACAGACTTAATTTGTCTAGGATAGAGGCTTCTTATAGGATACAGTATTTTTTTTTTTTTTTATGCCTCCAAAGTAATGGTCTTCCTTATGCCAATAATCCCAGCACTTGGGAAGCAGAGGCAATGGCGATTGCTGAGTTTCAGGTCATCCAGGCCTAAGACACACACACACACACACACACACACACACACACACACACACACACCCCTCCCTCTCTTATACAGAGCTTATTTTCTTAGTTTACATGCTTTGTCTGTTACCTTAAATACAGCAGTATTACTCTGACACCTTTCTCCCCATGTGCCACCATCACCATCAACTCTGCTTTGTCATTGTTATCTGCAGACTTTTTGCTGAGATGTGTGATCACCAGGATGGACGTCAAACTGGCTGTGACAGTGAAGAGAGCATGGCTCTCTGGGAATTTGAAAGATGTGGCAAGCTCATTGTAACTTGGAGTTAGAGAAAGACAGAAAACGGGCCATTTAAAGCACTTGGATGGCTTCTGAAGAGTGACATGTGAACCTTAAATATCCTTAGCACAAGGAGCCCAGGCTGTGCTGAGTCATGGGTAAAATTTATTTCTAAACAGTAAATGAGTGCTGAAAAATTCTCTTTGCCTGCGCCCCAGTGGTTTGGAGATGGGAATGGAGGAGCTGATAGGGATTGGAGGACAATGAAGGAGTGGGGACCTCAAGGAGGAAGCAGTGGGACAGAGACTGCTTCTGCTTTCTTGTCCCCTGTCCTCCAGCCAGAGGCTGAAGGCAGGATGCTCTGTGTCTACAGTGCAATCTTCCAGTTTCTGTCTGGTCCCTGTAGCAAGGACAGTGTTTCATACTCTCTGGAAACTGTATTCATTTGGCATGTTTGTCCAGACTGGAAAATAAGGAAGTTCCAAAAAATGGATAAAGAAGTGTTAAATGAGTATTTTGGCCAGGCAGGGGTGGCTCACACCTTTAATCCCAGCACTCGGGAGGCAGAGGCAGGTGGATCTCTGTGAGTTCGAGGCCAGCCTGGTCTACAGAGTGAGTTCCAGGACAGGCTCCAAAGCTACACAGAGAAATCCTGTCTGGGAAACAAAAACAAAAACATAAAAAACAAAAACCCTCCAAACCAAAAATGAATATCTGTGCTCAGTAAACACTTTCCACCTCCAAAATGTTAAGGATAATATTAACTCATCATAGCAGGAGAAATATGCAAATAAGCATGACTCAGTTTCCCCTAGAAGTTTGTCATGGGATGATTCTCAAAGTATATTGAAATTAAAAGTACACAAATACAAGTCTATATTAATTAGTGTTTGATACTTGTTTGCTTGTTTGTTGTGAGGGTCTCAATGTATAGCCTGGGCTTGCCTGGAACTCACTATGCAGCCCAGGCTAGTTTCAAGCTTGCTGTGATGCTTGTGCTGCAGCCTGCAAAGTAACAGGCTTGTAGTTGTGCCACCATACCCAGATCTAGAAATTGACTTAAAAAGGTGATTGTCAGCCTGATCTACAGAGGGAGTTCCAGGACAGGCTCCAAAGCAGCACAGAGAGACCCTGTCTCAAAAAGCAAACAACAGCAACAACAACAACAACAAAAAAGATGAAAAAAATTGTATCTTACTATTTGAATCAGTATTTAGCAGTATTTCTCTATCTAACCCTGGTAGTAGAGGAGCTTTTTGTGGTTTTTTCATCCCCAATGCTACATATAGCAATCCCATGATAGGTGATTAATAAACAGAAGAGATTCCGTCTTAATAGCTAATCATTGGGCAGCCTTTAGGAATAAAATTAAAAAGCAATCAAACAACTTCCACTCCTCTCCTGAAATTATGGCATGTCAACATAAGAGTCCATGTATAATGACGTTTGTACCTTTGTGTATAAAAGCCCAACAACCAATAGAGAAAAGATATAGTGATTCACAGACCCTCCAAACAATTCACACAACCAAGCTGTGAAACAGAATAAGATATTGACTCTATACTGTATTATATTTTAAGTATACCATACATCCCTGCACAGTAACACACACACATACCCCTATAATTCCATCTTTATGAAGCTGAAGTTAGAAAGATTGAGAGTTCAAAGCTAGCATGAGCAACAGAGTGAGATCCTACCTTGTAAATAAACAAGCAACAAACAAACATTGCAAATCAATATGTATTATCTAATTTCAGCACTGTGTACAAGGGAAAAATTCCCCAGAAGGGTGCCTGCCAAGTATATACAGGGATCATCAATCAAAGGTATCAGAAGGATCTTTTTACTTCCATTCTGGTAGATTTTGGGAAGTGTTAAGGTTCTGAGTTAGCTGTGATGGTTAGCTTTAATTGTTGTGGTTTGAGTGAGAAAGCTTCTCCATAGTCTCATGAATGTGAACACTTGGTCCCTACTAGGTAGAACAGCTTAGGGAAGGGATTGGGAGGTGTGGCCTTGCTGGAGGAAGTATGTCACTGGGGCTGGGCTTTGAGAATTTTCAGACTTAGCTCATTTCCAGTTTGCTCCCTGTTCATGCTTTTGCAGTTGAAGATAGGATCTCTCAGTTTTTTGCTCTGGCCTGCTGCCATGCCTCTCCTGCCATTATGGACTCCCCCTCTGGAGCTATAAGCTTAAATAAGTTCTTTCTTCCATAAATTGCTTAAGGTCATGCTGCCTTAACCACAGGAATAGCAAAGTAACTAATACAGTCAACAGTTTGACTCAACCTAGAATGACTTGTGAAGAGTCTCTCCTCTTTAACAAAGCAGGGTTTTTCTGTGTATCCCTAGATATCCTGGAACTCACTCGGTAGACGATGGTGGCCTCCAACTCAGAGATCCACCTGCCTCTGCCTGCTGGATTAAAGAAATGCACCATCACTGCCCTGCAGAAAAAGAGTCTTAGTAGAGGATTGCTTAGCTTGGGTGACACTCTGGCGAAGAATTTTTCTCCCTGGGAGTGGTTTCAGAAGGGAGGGGGTTTTAACGTTGCAAGGATAGTGGCAGCCAGCCCTAGCCTTAGGTACATAATACTGGGCTCTATAGTAAACAAAATTCCCCAAATAGTCTGGAGAGGCTGTTTGTCAAATTGTGTCTCCAACCACTTCTGAGATTAGAAGAAAACTTCGACTATATTGTTCTTCAAGAGTTTCAGCTAGCTGACTCCTCCCTAATAGTCACCCTTTTACATACCTTTGCCTGGATTTGCCCTTTCTTTGTTAGGCAGGTATAACCCCACCCCACCAGGCATACCCTCCCCCCACCAGGTATAAAAGCCCTATCACTGAGGTACATACATGCATTCCCAGCCATCTAAGACTTGTTCAAAGTTTAAAAGTTCTTGAACACCTTAACTTCCCCGCTCTCATCTCAACCTTTAAACAGGTGGGTAGATTCGCACACAATGAAAGAATAGCAGAAGTCAGGGTTTGCCAACAATACAGACTAAATACTTTATTAGGTTCCAAAATGAGAAAATGGTAGTGTTAACCTATTTTAGTATAAATCTACCACCCTTCGCAAAGAGCCTGCCTTAGCGTCTACAGCACCCCAGTCGTGGTAGCGCCGGTACTCCTGAGGCCTGAGCAGGTACTGCCGGCCTCTGTAGTTGGGCATCTCATAGAGGACCCAGCAGCCTTCCAGCACGTGCAGGGAGCGCACCTCACTGAGGTGGAAGCGGTCCTGGATGCAGGCACAATCTTCATTCAGCTCCATCATGAGGCCTTTATGGTCTTCTCTCTCATACAGCCGCATCCTGTGGGAACCAGTCTGCTTGGGTAACAGAAAGAGCAGAAAAAGGCATTGAGCGTCTTCCAGAACTTGTGGCTGGCTGGGCGGAGGGGGGAAGGGGGAGGAGCTGCCGGTGTAATATCGGAGCCTCTGAGATTTAGAACTGTGCACTGATAAATCTGCTAGCAAGCGTTACAAACTCCTACATGCCCAGTTTCGGTTTTTCATCTAGGAGGTAGAATTTTTAACATGTTAAAACTGTATTTCAGCCAAAAATTCAAATATCTTAATTCCCAACTCTCTGTGTTCATTCTACGTTGTATGTTGGCAAATATAAATAATGGATGTTGATTAGTATTTTTTTTTACTTTTGTATATGTTTATATACATATACGTTCATCGTTATAATGGGATTTTTTCAAACTTACATTTTATGGTTTTTGAGAATTTCATACGTTAGTCCTGAATTTACATCATTCCCAGCTGTCCCATTCCCCTGATTTTGTAATTCCCTAAACTGGCTTCACACTCAAGATCCTGTAGCCTCGGCTTCCTGGATTACAGGGAATCAGTATGCCTGGCTAGTGTAGAGTTCAGAAAACTTAAATAACTTATGTGAAAAGTTAATCTAGAATTTAGATGGTTTTCAAAATTAAGGAAAATTATCATTTCCAAAATTGGTCTCTGTTTTTACACAGTTTTTGATCACCATACTTTTCCATGTTTCCTACCCCACAGTAATTAACTCTCTTATCAGAAATTCCGTTATAGGTTAAAATCAATCTGATAGGCATAATGCCTTCTCTTGACCAAGCAGCCTCCCATTTACCTAAGTTGTCTCATATACCAGCATAAGACTGCATTCATTGAGAAAAGTTTTGATTACCTAATTGTAGCAACTATAAAGTGGACTTTTTTTCTAAGTAGATTCTTCCTTATAATTCTGTCTTCCTGGTTGTGTCCCTTAGGCAGACACTTCATTCTTAAGTACTTTTTTTGTTTTTGTTTTTTCGAGACAGGGTTTCTCTGTGTAGCTTTGGAGCCTATCCTGGCACTCGCTCTGGAGACCAGGCTGGCCTCGAACTCACAGTGATCTGCCTGCCTCTGCCTCCCGAGTGCTGGGATTAAAGGCGTGCGCCACCAATGCCCGGCACCCTTAAGTACTTCTACAGACAAGGCTTACTCTCTGGACCCCACATCAGTAAAACAGTGAGGACCCTTGGGCAGAAAGAAATAAAGCCAAACAGGACTCACGTGGGGAATGAGGCGGCAGGAGCGGATGGAGTCGCTGAAGCCCATCCACTGCTGGTAGTCAGGGTAGTCCCCGCGCCGCAGGAAGTACTGGTGGCCTTGGTAGTTGGGGCGCTAATGGAGCACCCGGCAGCCACTGTCCACTCTGATGGAGTTGCAGCGGCTGAAATAGGTCTGCAAGTTGGGGCAGTCGCTGCTGCACTCATAGCAGCGGCCCTGGAAGCTGCGGTCCTCGTAGAAGGTGATCTGTAAAGGAAGAGCAATTCTGGATGAGATCATTTTCTCCTTGTGTGAAGGCCGGTCCCTCCGACTCTTTGTTTAGTTTGCGCTCTGCTCACCTTCCCCATGGCTGGCTGACCGTGGTGAGTTCAGTGTCCAGCCAGAGAGCGGCGGGTCTATATAGCAGGAGGGCTGCTGCGTTAGCGGAACAGCACAAAAGGGGCCCTCGGGGCTGAGGGGATTTTTATGGATCGCTTTTCCATGCTGCATTCAGTGGCGGTGATTGCAGATTCGCTTGGTTCTCTGGTGTGTTCCAACGCTGCCCTGGACGAGCTGCTGGGTGTTTTATTTGGATTCTTACTGTTTTTTAAATTTATCAGCACATCAGCCTGAACTTTTGACCTGAAGTCCATGCCCCTACATTTTGATTCTATTATACTTGGTAAGTCTGGGGGAAACCTGTACATTTGTAGAAGTGCCCCCCGAGTCGAGAGGGCTGGAATTTTGCAAATATTGCAAATGTTGATTAGTTTCCTAGTACGACAGAAACTGGTCACCGTTATTCCTTCTTCCTACTTATTTTCTTTACAGCATTTGCTGGTTCGTTCAGCACACAAATCTAGATTCTAATCGTGGCTCTTCTCTACTGTGATGCTCAGGACCTAGCCACGAGTTTCTCCTTTGGTGGGGGCATACTCTGTGATGCAAAATCAGTCCCCCCCCCCTCGTAGTCAGCTTGTGTTAAGAACAAAGGGAAAGTTTTGTACAATCGTGAGGTCCAAGACTGACAAGTATGTATGTATTGCTCCTCATTTCCAAGGTCAGGGAGAAGGCCTAGACTTTCCTGTGAAGAGTGAGATTTGAACCCACGTTGCAGGGACACCATAAATCACCCCTCAGAGCAGGAATTACCTTGTGGGAGAGTGAAGGATGAGAAGGAAAGAAAAGAACAAAGCAAAGAAAAAAAATGAGGAGGAAAGGACATCTCTGTCATTTGGCCACTGTTGGGTCACTTCCACCCAGGACCTATTAGATATAAATAGCCTTAGTAAGTACAAGTCAGACAAGGTTATTCAGAGTGAGTTTGTCTGAACAAAGACAAATCCAAAGCCAATATATCACCCACAGCATGCTGAATGTCACCCTTCTCAGCTGGAATGACTAACTACTACTTTAAAATACATTTTAGCATGTTTGTGAATCAAATATAATATAGCTCTCATAGATGCTGGGGAGAGTTCTGATCCTCTGTAAATCCTACCACTCCCAAAGGGCAGCACTTACACACACACACACACACACACACACACACACACACACACACACACACACGTTACCCTTGTGCCCCAGGCCTATTGCTTCCTTATTTATGGCTTTGTCTTTGTTCTAGCATCCCTCTAACATGGGCAAAGGTTAATGATATGACCAGTGTCTGTCTCTGTCTCTGTCTCTGTCTCTCTCTGACAGGGTCTCACTATGTAACCTAAGCAAGCCTTGGACATACTGCAATTCTGCAATTCTCCTGTCTCAGCCACCTTGGTGCTGTGATTATAGGAACACACTGTCAAATCTGGCAAATTTCTCAGCTCCCCCCTTCTTCCCTCCTTTCCCCTCCACTCCACTCTTTCTCTGTGTATGGCAGTGGTGGGAATTGAACCTAAGGCCTTATTCATGCTAGGCAAGTGCAAGGGCGTGGTCAGGCACACCTGTAGCCAGCCCCTAAGTAGGCGTGGCTACAGCTTCCCCTACACTACCCCATTGAGATTCTCCACCTAGACCTCCGAGTTTTTAGAGCTTCCTTAAACCACAGCATCAAGGTGTACATCCTAGACACAGCTCTTATAATGTCAGCCATCTGAAAACCATCCTATTTCCTCAGCATATGTGCTCTCTCTGGAAGCAACAAGTCATAAACTTAACTGGTTTACAGGCAGGCAATTGAGATGTTTAGCTGACAGACATTAGCATTCATAACACCATCTGGTGCAAATGAACACTGGTAATGCTAGTGACATTGACAATAGTGTTGGAGTGACATCATTGAGGATGTCAACCTGGTTCTCTGACCAAAGATAGTGTACTCAAAGGTTCCTGAGCCATTTTGTGGCTGAAAAAAAAATGACACTTGGAAAAGACATTAGAAATCTTATGGGGGGGGGGGGGCTGGAAAGATGGCTCAGCAGTTAAGAGAGCACTCATTGTTCTTCCAGAGGACCCTGGTTCAATTCCCAACACTTACATAATAGCTCACAACTGTCTGTAACTCCAGTTACAGGGGATCTGAAATCCTCACACTACATAAATGCCAGCAAAACACTAATGCACATAAAAAAATAAAAAGGAATCATCATTGTCTTAGTTAGTTTTATTTTTTTATTTATTGCTGTGAAGAGACAATATGACCACGGCAACTCTTTATAAATGAAAACATTTCTTTGAGGGGGCTCACTTACAGTTTCAGAGGTTCAGCCTATTATCATCATGGCGGAAGCATGGCAGCATGCAAGCTGATGTGGTGCTGGAGCTGAGAGTCCTACATTTTGACTCAGACGCAACAGGAAGTCAACTGACTGTCACACTGAGGGAAACTTGAGCAAAGAGACCTCAAAGCCCACCCCGACAGAGACACACTGCCTCCAACAATTGCCACTCCCTTTGGGGGCCATTTTCTTTCAAACCACCACAATCATTAAAAAATATGAAAATAAAATGAAAGAAAAGAAATCTTGTCAGGGGGGTTGAGAGTGGTGGTGGATGGCTTTAATCTCAGAACTTGGCAGAGGCAGGTGGATCTCTGTGAGTTCAAGGCCAGCCTGGTCTCCATAGTGAGTTCCAGGACACCATGGTTATGTAGAGAGAAGAAGGAAGAAGTGCATTTTCTCATTATTCAGAGTAGCCAAGGTATGGAAGAGGCTTAAATGTCCTTCAGCAGATGAGTAGATGAAGAAAACATGTCTACTTAAGAGAATTTTATTCAGAAGGAAGAATAATATTTCTTGCAAAGAAATGGATGGAACCAGAGAGCATCATATTAAATAAAATCAGCCAGGCTGACAAAAATGAGAATCACATACTTTTCTCTCATATGTGGAAACTTAAAAAAAACTATGAGATGGTAACAAAAGGGCTTGGGATCACTGGGTATGTAGGAGGGATATGGGGAAGGTCAGGAATAAATATGACTTAAGAACCATGGTACAATGATAAGCAGGTATGAAAAAATGTCACAATGAAATCCATTCTGTGGTATGCTAACTAATATTATTAGCAAAATAATAAAACAATAGCTAATAATACAAATAAAACCTTTATTTTTTCATAAGTCTTCTTTCTGCTTAAAATTTTTACTTAAAAATTTTTGCCTAAAAAGTTCTTTTAATGCAGAATCTTTCTACATAGCCCAGGCTAGATTTAAACTCTATAATGTAGCATGAACTGGTCTTGAACTCATTATCTTCCAATCTCACCCTCCGAAGTATTGGAATTATAGTCTGGCAGTTGGTGTCCCACATAATTCTTCATCTTTCTCTAGATTTTATATTTTCTCTGCCCCTTCTCCTGTGATGTTTCCTGAGTCTTGAGTGAATGGAGTGATATAGATGTTCAGTTTATGGCTGAACATTAGACTATCTCTTAATCTTATCACATTGACCAGTTATGAATCTCTACAATTTCCACAGCCTACTGAAAAGCAAAAACAAACAAACAAACAAACAAACAAACTTCTCTGACCAAAGCCGAAATCAATAAGCAATGTGTTGAACATGACACTTGGGCAACCAAGGAGTAATGTCAAGTTCAGTCCTGGCGAGGTGTGGTAGCACCTGCAATTCCAATACTGGGGAGCACAGAGGCAAGCAGATTTTTATGAGTTTGAGGCCAGCCTTATTTATAGAGCAAGTTCCATCTCAAAACAAAAGTAAGTAAACAAACATAACAAGCCAGAAAATTAGAGATGATTCTAGAGTGTTTTTGCAGAGAAATTGCTTAAGCTGAGCCTTGAAGAAGAAAACACTTGTTTGGATGAACAAAAAGAGAATTGGTGTCTAGTCAGAAATATTATGACAATGTGAAAAGGGGAATGATGAGTGCTCGGGGTGATTAGGCAGGCAACGTGGCAAAAGAGTGAGGAGCCAGCAGATTGTTTCAGGCCCCTGAGCTGCTGTGTGTCTAATATCTTTGGCCTAGCATGCTGGCACAGAACAGTGTGGGATAGAGAAAGGCACAACTGGGCAGAATCAGGAGGCAACTAAGACCCAGCTAAAGTATGATAAGACCTCCAAGCAAGGCAGTGAGGGGCCTGTAGGGGCAGGAAAGAGAAAGAGCTGAGAAGTGAGAGAAAGTCAAGACTATGCTCTTCAGAGATAACTGAAATTCAGTGTGTGTGGAGGGGGGCATTTTCTGGTTCCTTTGTAACTTGTCTTGTAAGTACTGCACTTTATGTGATAGAATTTCCACCCTGGTCTTCCCGTTATGTGTACATGAACTTTATAAAATAAGGAAGAGAACTACATAACAAACAGGGTTTCTACTTACTGGGTTAAAAAGACTCTTGGGGATAAGATTCTATTGTTGAAGACACCACAGGCTCTATCTAGTCCCAAGATACAGAGAAGTCAAACTAGGATTGGGCTTGAAGCTTCCTCTCTGCTAGACTGAACTTGACGTTGTTCCTTGCTTGCCAAAGTTTCATGTTCAACAGCTTTTATCAAGTTTCCGTTGCTTTATTTAGACCATAGTTCCTCAAAAACTGATATGGAGAGTCTTAAAGGATCAGGACTCTTCCACATTTTTTTTACCTTATTCTCACTAATTGGCTGAATGAATAGAACATCAATGACAATAGAGGAATGACTGTTCTTCTAGTCTGGAATTCAGTGTGGTGATCATTTCCAGAACCCATTCCAAATACTCAGGCTGCACGGGGAAGTATACTCACATCAAAGTTCATCGTGTATGAACTGAAGTCTGTGATCTGACCACACCTTGAGATTCGTTTACTTAATGGGCTAGTATAATAGTAAAGATGAATACTCATAAGGGAGAAAACAGGAATGTTGCACTTTCCCCCAAGCTCTGCACCCTGTCATGTCCCTTAGTAATTTTAATTGTCTATTTCTAATGTCCC